GTCTCATAAACGCTACCAGTCGATATCAGCTTATGGCTGTGATATGAGCTCACAGACAGTTTACAGCCCCAGCTAAAATTGGACCCTGAGCAGTACGTAATAATACAAAATTAACTGGCATCAATTGCCACACCTTGTATCCGCCCCAACCCCCGAAAAAGAGGCAGATATGCTAACCAACTGACATGGGCAGCTATGCTTAAGGTATGCGGAGACTAGAGAGTGGAATGTATCAAATGATATTTTGAGTGCACTCGATAAGGTTTTTTATGTTGGTCAATAAAGGGAAATTGTGCTCTCTATATCATTATATAGGCGCAATTGCGTTTTATATTTCTCTATAGCTCTGGTTATCGATAAGTTCTAGCGAAAAAATCACAAAAATATTTAAGCAAATAAAGAAGCTTCTACCGAGTATCATAAAACAAACCAAACAGGAACTCTGCAATATCGAGAGATAATATTGAAATAAAAAAAGAATTTTCGTCTTGATTTTGCAACGTGAAATCTGCTCGAGTCGGACATGAATATATGTATAGATATAATTTTCTCCTTTTTTTTGGGGGGGGATTTGAAAAGTGAAAACGTGCTGGGACAGCGGCTGCCAGCGACCACCAATTAAATGTCATTTATCAGCAAAAAAAGAAAAAAGAGTCTAAAGTTTAGATAGCCTTCTGATTTATAGCCCTGCGATAAGCCCAGCTGAGCGCAAGGGCTGCGACGGGCTAGGGCCTGGGCCAGAGGCAGGGGCAGGGGCAGGGGCGGGGGCCAGCAGGGGTCTAACAGTCATTGCATTGGCATTGGCATTTGCCCAGCGTTGCCTGATTGATTTGTAGTGTGTAAAAAAGTAAATATGTAATTTGTAATTGCGCTGGACTTATTTGCAATCGTATCGAGACGCTTCAAAGCGCATTCACCGACAGCAGCAACTGTTGCTGATAGCACGCCAGCAACTGCAACTGTTGCTCGCCAACGCATGGCTATTGTTTGAGTACGCAATCCCCATCTAATGCTGCCTGGAGTGGAGCAGCACGAGTGGAGCTTAGGCCGGGGATTGAGAAACTGAGACGTTGAGACCCACTCGAGCGGCTCTCATATGCCGCATACTTAATCTGCTACGAAATCGAAATCGAAGTCGAAATCTCAACGAATTCGTAAATCATGCATCAGGTTTTTTGTTCGGCTGCCGGTGACCAAATCATGGCCCTAATCTATCTACCCGAACTTTATGGCACCCACTTTTGGCCATATCGGTACCCAAGCTCTATATTTATTATATTGTGCGCTATTTTATTCGCTGCGCGTTTCGTCGAATCTTTTTTTTTGTATTATTCGCTTTCATATTTGCCGAAAGGCAGCTATTTTATAATATTGTACTACGTCCAGTATTTATATTGACTTTGCGGCCCCCAACTACTGTTCTTTCGCACTTTTGATCGATTGGCTTTGCTCGGCAATCGATATCGTTATTGTACCTTGGTGCCAAGCGTTGTAAACTATGCATCGATCGAGTGGCAAAAGGAAATCTATTAAGAATATATTTAAAATTAATATGCCATCACATAAGTTAGTCATTGTCTGTTTCTTAGCGAAGCGAGGTAGACTTATAGTTGTGGGTGAGGTACTCTACTGGGAAGGTTTCAATGGGCTTCGAAAGTTTATACAGTTTGGGTTCTTAACAGATGATTCTGGTAGTCCAATAGAGTAAAGGCTCTACAGCTCTAATATTGACATGGTCCAATAATTTCAATAAGAAAATACAATTTTCTATAATTTCCAACACACAACAAATTGATTGCATAAAATATTTAAAGAATTATGCAAAATATTATAACACAAATTAGCATAGCCCTATTTGATACATTTTTATTCCACCTGTCGAACAATTGTCAAAAAGTTAAAAAAACGGCGAAATTAGAAATTAGATTACAGCACATTTGAAATAATTATCACCCACTAAACAAAGTCGGGCCGAAACAATGATAATCCTGCCATAAGCGCATCAATTGATATGGAGGGGGGGCGCGATACACAATGGCGAGGGCGTGGCTGGGGCAGGGGTAGGGGGTGCATAAACAGGATAACAATGATTTCAATTACCATGCAGTGTCGAATAATTATTTTACCTTTTTTTTTTTTTTTGTGTTGAGCACAAGTGCGTGGATATTGCGTGAATATTGCTCCCGGGCGTATAAAAACAGATGAGCAGTGCGAAGGGTGGGTCGAGACTGTGCCCAGGCTGCGAGGTCCTGCACTCGATGTGGGCTGGGGGGACGGGGGTCGAACGACGGCTATGTCTAATGTGCACAAATTTATGACTTTACTAGCGAGTGTACCAAGGGTTCGCAACATGGAACTGAGGGCGGGGTTGGCTCGTGGGCGGTTTGTTGTTGTTGTTGTTGTTGCTGCTGCTGCGTGTCGTCTGTTTACATTGTCAGCCGCCAGGCTGGAGCAACAGCAACAGCCACCCTGTGGACACATGCTTAAGCTCATTATTATCATTTAAACAAGTCGGCCTACGTGAGCCAGAGCCAGAGCCCGAGCCAGAGCCAGAGCCACTTGTCTCCGGGGTTGATTTTTGGCCAACGCACTTGCCGGCAATTTTGTGCGTTAAACGTTTCCCCAATTCTCGCATTCAATACTTAAAACTCGGAAAAATTGAGCACTACTCGCTCTCCCTGTCCAGGTCCATGGCTGGTGGCCGTGTGGCTCCTGCTGGTGGTTGTATGCAATTCGTTTGGCTGTCGGGTATTCAGGTCTTGTGGGTGCTTGGGCTGCTGGGAATGGTCAGAATGGGCGCGAAAATGTTAATGCTCCCGGGACAATTGTGTGCATAATTAGAATAAAGGGTTTGCAATTGACATTTACTGTAATGGCGATGATTAAAATTTGCCTAGTTTATGCCCAGCTGGGGTCGGCTTTCCTTATATATATGATTCTTTTATTTATTTTATTTTTTTCGCTAGAATAATAATATATTGAGGAGCTAGATACAAAAAACTGCTGAGAATTGGCAAATGAAAAGATCATAAAATAGCTATGCAGACTTGAATTTAAATATTCAAATACTCCATAAAGCCTTATCTGAAAGAATTTGACAGTTTTGGTGCTGGAGAATTATTTATAAAAATATAAGGAAATTGTTTTTTTTTATTTATTATACTAAAATATGTTGAAGAAACGAAATGTTACTATTCTGTTATCGTACTAGAAAATAAGCAAGGATTAATTAAAATAATCTCTTTCTCTTAACAGAATCGTTTTTTGAAGCAAAACTTTTGTCGTATATCTTAGCAAAAGCTTGGAGATACAAATTTTAGAGTATGTACATTCAAGAAAGCTAAAAAAATCAATTTAGAGAGTTGACTTAATAATATATTAGACAGATACATGCATCAAATATTTCACCTCTCAGAGCTCCAGCTACTCTTTAGAGTTTCCGGCCAGCTCTGGCAAGTGTTGTGCGTTTCTGTTTAATTTCGAGAGCCTCCGGAACGGGATGCTTTGTTAAGTGTTGCCCTGAGAAGCACTTAAAAACATAGCAAAACCGAGCGAACTGAACAATAACCGCAACAACAAAGGCGCTGCAATAAAAACACTTGACACTCTGACGCCAGAAGGCCACCCCCCCAAAAATAATGAAAACGGGTCTGCGGTAAAGTATCTGAGTAGCTGCAAATGTATCTGTATCTGACGGATGCGTGCTTGCAATTTGCGCGTGGGTTTGTTTATATTTATTTGGCTTTGCGTTTGCCGCCTCACTGGCTGCCACAATCAAAGCCGCATCATCAAAATCGCCCCCCTCTACCGTAAACCCCCCCAACCCATCTCCAAGAAACCCCTGTGCCTACGCAGTCACTTTTATCTGCGTGGCGAATTAGAATGTTGTCAAATTGTTATTCTTTTGTTGCGATGCGTATTCATTCATTCGATTCGGATTCGCTCAGGCCCGTGGCTAAGCTACCCCTGCTCCTGCCCCTGCCCCTGCCATGGGCCTTACCCCTTTCCTTTGCGCCTGCGTCAACCCACGAGTGTCGCCAGTCGTAGTCGTCGTCTCAATCCTCAATATGTCTGCCTGTTTGTGTGTTTTCTGTTTTGTCATGCTCCATTTAGCCGAGTGCGGACCGAACAGATGTTCTATTTAAACGCACATTATTATTATTCCATTTCGACAGGCGAATCTGAGGCTGCCGTGCGTTTCTTGTGCGCACCACACAAAAGTGTCGACAAACGTTTTCGTATAACAGAAGCAAGACTCGGAATAATTTCGAATTACATATTATAATTAGTATTTACAGTCTATTTAAGTGAGTTTCAGCTTAGTAAATGATGTTATTCTATGTTGGAAACTAAACATTTTTTTGTTTTTTGATTATGGATTTTAAAGATACTCATTTTTGTCTTTTTTTATAATCTATCAGGCAACTTTTATTTTAAGCAACCTGTGTTGAATAAAATTATCAAACCTTATTTCAGATATTCATATTGCTTGTCGATTAAAATAAGATTCACAAATAGTACAAATTTTATAGAAAGAACCTCTTAAATTTTGTGTTAACTCTGCTCTGATTCCACCAAAATGAAATTTGATTTGTTTCGATTTGTCGGGTGGCACGCACCCTGTACGTTATACACTGGGTGACACAGTCGCTCTCGACCAACACGATTGTTGATGATGACGACGCGTTGATGTCAAATGCGGAACGGGGAGGCATTGGTAATATCGTCGAATGCTGCTCCTGCTGCCGTTCCTTGTGCTGTGCGCTTGATTAGGGTGAATTAATGGTCATGTAAGGTGGATTAGGCGATTGAATACGAAAATAATTACATTTGAAATTCGATATGCTGCCAACTGTCAGCCGATGTGTGTGTGTGTGTGTGCTTGTGTGTTATACAGGTGCATATGTGTGTGCGTGTGTATGTGTGTGATTGATGATGTGCTGCTCTGTGCTCTGATTTCGCTAATAGCTCACTTCCCTTCTCCCCCTCTCTTCTTATAGATGCATCGCACCCCTTTAGCATAAGCAGATTGGTCAAGACTGAACACCTGACGGCAATTGTGGCAGCCGCGGGCCTGAAGCCACCGCCGCTGTCGGCGCACAGCGTCGCCTTGGCGGAGGACAACAACAATTCCATCTCGATGCTGAGCAAGAACCAACAGCAGCAGCAACAGCAGCAACTGCAGCGTCCAAAGCTGCTGCCTTATCTGAGCGCCAGCGAGCAGCTGCGGCAGTCGCGCTCCCGATCGAGATCACGATCACGCAGCGCCTCGCACTGCTCCTCGCAGATCGACATGGACGATGCGGACAGCAGTCACGAGCGCTACTCGCGGCATTCGCGCCGTTCGCTGCACTCGCGCTCCCGTTCCCGTTCCCGCTCTAGATCCAGATCACATTCGAGCAGCTCGTCCGTGGAGCTGGAGGTGGACTCGCCGCCCGGCAGTCCCAGTATGAGTTCGCCCAGTGCCGCCTCCGTTTCCGCCTCCGAGCTGCTAATCACGGCCAACAGCAACAGCAGCGCCAAGAAATCCGACTTGTTCTCCGTCTCCGCGCTGCTGCGTCGCGACGAGCCGGCGACGCGACGCGCACGTAGCCCACCACTTGGCCTGGTTGGCGCCTCGACAGCAGCGCTGGCGCTTCCCAATCCGCTGGAGGCCATGCGCCAGAGCTACCCGCCCAACTACGATGCGGCCATGTTCCAGCGTCCCATCTTCTCCCCGGCGCTGCCCTTCTTTGCCGCGATTGCCTTTCACCAGGGACAGCAGCAGCAGCAACAACAACAGCAATCCGGACTGGTCGCAAGGTAAGTTTCACTTTAAAATATTCAAAAGTGAATTTCAAAATTTTTTGAAGTCTTTTCTTTCCTAAAGTCAAATGAACTTCTCTCAGTGCAGTTCACAAATTTAAAAGTAATTTTCATTAATAAAAACAAAATGGTTGAAATGTTATCAGAAATGTTAAATAGAGCTTCTTTTAATTTCTTCTTATCAGACAATTAATATTATATTTTTAACAAACTGAAAGATTTTCTGTTTTAAAGTCACATGCATTTCTCTCAGTGTACTTACTTGACTTCACACTCTGTCCGTATTAAGTTGCCTTAATTAAGCGCGTACTTAAGCTAATTCTCTCTGTTTCTCTCTGTCTCTCTCGCTTGCTCTTGCGCAGCTACCATCCGGACTCGCAGGAAAATCTCTTCCGACTGCGCAGCCTGATGGTGCCACTCCAGTCTGCTGGCCAGAATGGCTCCACTGCGGCTGCCGCGGCGGCAGCGGCAGCGGCAGCCGTTGGTGTGGGCGTTGGCGTAGGCGTGCCACCGGGCGGCGGGCATTTGGGTCTGCCGCATCAGCCGCATCTGCACTTCCATCACATGGCCGCCAAGTGGCCGGGCCTGCATCAATTTAGCGACCTGTACTCGTGCATGAAGTGCGAGAAAATGTTCTCCACGCCGCACGGACTCGAGGTGCACTCGCGCCGCACCCACCACGGCAAGAAGCCCTACGCCTGCGAGCTGTGCAACAAGACCTTTGGCCATGAGGTCAGCCTTAGCCAGCACAGGTATGTAAAGCACTCGGCCACAAGCATTTGGCCAGGTTCAGTCCGAAGTTCCTCCTCACACTCTGCTGACCACGCCCCTCATTGGGGAGGGGGGCACTTTGCATGCTTAATGAGCGGCCGGGACCGGCCGGGGACAGTTTTGCGTTACTTAATTTAGCTGAAATGTTGGATTTAGCCTGGCCAAATGTTTGCTTTGCGGTTGTATTTAGCATTCAGCAGCCGCTCCAGGGAATTCGAGCTTGGCTTTAATTACACCAAATAGCCGCCAGCATGTTATGCTGCATGTCGTTTAACGGTTCCTCTATTTCCACACAGGGCGGTGCACAACGTGGAAAAGGTCTTCGAGTGCAAACAGTGCGGCAAACGCTTCAAGCGCTCCAGCACCCTCTCCACCCATCTGCTCATCCACAGCGACACGAGGCCTTATCCCTGCAGCTACTGCGGCAAGCGATTCCATCAAAAGAGTGATATGAAGAAGCACACCTACATCCACACGGGTAAGTTACTTTTAATCCTAACTAAAATATCTGCATAACTGGGAAAGCATAACTGCCTGCAACCTCAAGAATAAAAAATTGTGAAAAGAGTTTATGGGCTACGACAAATTGTGGAGTTCAGTTATTATGACACTGTATGGATCTTACTGTAGAATATGGTCGAGTTTGCCACATGATAGAGATAATAGGAAGTGCTATATGATGAGGATATTGATAATAATAAGTTGATTTAAAGCATATAGAAATGAAACACTAGAAGTTTATGAATACTAGCGTATAGATGCATATATAACCCTCTATATATGTAAATGTGCAATGCGTATTTGTAGCAAAAAACCGAGAACGATCAAATCAATAAGTATACTTTGTGTATCTTATTGTGCTTCCTTTTCTAAAGGTTTGGACATTAGCCCCATAAATAAAATGCATATATATATTCTATTTTCGAAGCTATATGTCAAGATTGGTGACTCTAGCTCTTATTATTTACCAAAATTGCCCAAAAAACAGGATATCGATATCGATTTTTATCGATTGCTTGGAAACGGAGTAAGTTATCGATTATCGGAAACAAACTCGATCTGCGCGAGAACTAGGAGCATCTACATCTTATAGGTTCTGAGATCCTTGCGTTCATACATACGGACAGACGGACGGTCAGACAGACGGACATAGCTAGATCGACTCGGCTATTGGTGCTGATCAAGAATATATATAATTTATGGGGTCGGAAATGCTTCCTTCTGCCTGCTACATACATTTGCATTTTGCACAAATACATTATACCCTTATACCCATTTTTTAAGGGGTTCAGGGTATAAAAATAGGGGGTTCAAATAATATATAGTCTTCAATAAATCTTACAAATTTTTAGTTGATATTTATAATTGAATAATATTGAGTATGTTACCATAATGTTATGGTAATCAAGAAACTCGCATATCTTATCGTTACTGCTACTGCATAGAATTATACATAAATATGTGCACACATCTATATACATACACATATGCACTTGTGTACTTACACACATACATACATATAAAGACAAGATATTTGCAATTTTTGGAGAATGTCAGCGATAAACCCAAATGGCAAAAATGGGAACCGGAAACGGGCGCCATTAAAGCGTCGAACCAACCAACCGCCAGCTAAAGCCACAGTCGCAGTTCCAATTACAGTTACAGTTACAGTTACAGTTGGCAGTTGACAGAACGTTGAGTTTATAGGGTGACGAGCGAAGGGGAGGTGCAAGGGAACTGGGTACTGCAAAAATGAAGCTGACGACGGCGATAGGAAAGCGCAGAAACAGCTGAAAAGAGCGCCAACTATAAAAGCGCTTACTCTCCGAAAACAGCAAGAGAGCAGCTAACACACACACACACAGACACACTCACGCCCAGACACAGAGAAATATATACAATGGTAAAATGTAACTGATAAGAGGCAGCAGTGAGGACCAGCATTGACGTCGGGCTATGTACAAAGCTTGGGAGAAGCATTGGAAAGACAACGACACATACAATACACAACACACACACACACACACACAGCCAGAGCTAGACTACGCCTTGAAGCGCGAAAGAGAGCGAGCGAGTGTGCCAGCGACAAGCGACAAGCGACGCGGGCAGAGAAATCACAGCCGACCAATGAAAAATTTAGTCAAGAGATTTTGATTTTCTGTTTTATACGCGCGCACACACACGAATACACAAATACGACGCACACATTGACGCATGCACTTGCCGACACAGCGCCTGTGCGACTGTGTGCGTGCATATATTTGCGTCTGTGTGTGCGCGCTGCGCATACACCCCTATATAACTATAACAACAAAGCTCTGCCCGAAAACGTAGCAACTGCGCTGCCGCCGCGACGCGCACTCTTGCGCCGCCATTACGCCCAGAGCCTCTATAGTTTCTGCTCTTACTCATGGAAGTCTAATCTCTCCAGTTAGCAGACCTCTGCTGATTATATATGACCGCCATCTCTATTTAAAGCAACAATTATTCAGTGCATACAAAGAAACGAACTTTGGTACTTTGGAAATATGATATTCCATATAATAATAAATCTAATAAATAGATTTCTTTGAGAACTTGTTGTATTAATAATAAAATATTTTAGAAGAAGAAATAGCTCTCTTAATGCATATCTACTTTTATAAGGAAAGAAAGCTTCTTCCCAACATAATTTATTCACTTTTTATAGAGATATTTTAATCATCAGCACGAGAATTACTTAAGGACAAGCATTTCCCTGATCTTCCAAGGCCAACTTATCATCTTTTCCTTGCACCAATCGTGAATTTCATGATAACAATATTTCGTTGCCCTCAAATCAGTTTGCAAATTGCAAGGATAATAACCTTCTAATAAGCAGCGCCGCGCTCAGAACCCATCTGGCCACACCCATCAACCCCGTCGCCCCATTTGCAGCCCCCGTTTTCAGCGAGCGTCGTCTGGCCAAATCAGTGGAAGGCGACTCCGCACTCCGCACACATATAGACGCAAATATTTCAGACATTTTTATCGTTCGGCGTCTTCGATTTAAGACGTGTGCCCCACAATACACCCTCTTTTGGTTGCCCTTCCCCCGCCCGTTCTGCCGGCTGATTCGTGTTGCTTTCACACACATGGGCAAGGTATATGATAACGGATCCTGTATGTCCCGGGATTTGCTTCAGTCTTTGGCTTTTTGCTGGCTTAGTTTTCTTTCTTGTTTCCCTGTCGGATTTGTGTGCGTGCTTCTGCTGCGCTTTACGACCATCCTTAATTTTTCTCCATTTTTTTTTTCCTATTACTCAGTTTGTTTATTTTTTCCGACTGTTTCATGTTCGGGCGACGTGTTTCTATTGCTAGCAATAAGCGGGGGCCAGCAGATTTTTTCACATTGATGTGATTTGCCTCAACATTTCCGTCTGTTGTTTTCCATTTCCGTATTCACGTTTGGCTACGTTTTTATATCCTTTGTGTGTTTAGCTCGCATTTTCATTTTTTATTTTCCTGCCTCAGATTTTCGTTTGTAAATTTATGCGCAATAAAAGCGGAGCAAATAAATTTTCTAAATGCGCGCGTGTGTGTGTGTGTATGTGTGTGTGTGTGTATTTGTTAACTTATTTACTTATTCATTTCGATCTGAAACTCTAAATTTCATTCCACATTCAAACACCTTCGACTCCGTCAAGGCTGGTAAACAAATCGATAACTTAAAGCTGGGATATTTTAAAGAAACTGGCCACAAAATGTTCCCCAATGAAAAATATCGCAACATCAGAGAATCTTAAAGCTGCATTAATTAATTAATTAAATTTGATAATTCACATTAATTTGGACTTTTATAAAATAGTTTTACTCTCATGTTTTAAATTTTATATATTTGTTTATATTTTGTTTCTTGAAAAAGGAACTAGAGCTTCTTCATTTTGGGCAATTTTGCTGTCGCTTATGTAAATATAATATACATAATATACATTTGTCTTATTACAAATATTAACTTGTATTGTATCAAGCCCTTTTTTCATAAAAAACACATCCACACTTTCTTCAAAACGATTTCAATTCCTTATTTCACTTAATTTCATTTGATTCAAGCTCGCTTCAAATTCAAAAATGTAAACGTATCGGGAACATAAAACGCAAATCAAATCTCAACGCATTCCAAAAATAAAAAATCTGATTCTATGCGTTGCGTTTAAGACTGAGAATCATTTTATTTTATCTTATTTTTGTCTGCGTGACTCACGCTGGGTATGCGTTATTTGGTTAGAGTTCACGAAAAGAAACAGAAAATGTTAAAAGGCAAAGCAAAGCGAAATATAAAACGTGTTGAATTGAAAGGATTTGCCAAGCATCCTTCTAAGACAGAAACACACACACACACACAAACGCACACACACACACATGCACACACAGACAATTGCACAGACATAAAATATTAGAAGAGTAAAAGAAAAAGCAGCGCAGAAGCAAGCAAAGATTTAAAAGAATTTCCACAATGTGATGCAATAAAAATCCTTGAAATCTGTACATACAAAAACTGGCGCCCCCTAACCCACCCCCACCCCCGCTGTTCCGCTGCCCCCGCGCCCCAGCCCAATATTCCATACGCCCCCAAACTCTCAGCAGCAGAACGCCTGGGCTATGTATGCCCTCAGCTAAGGCACTGAGCGTGTTAGTTAGAGCAGCCAGGCAGCTCCAACCAGAGCTACTCCCCTGCCCCTCCCCCTCCGCCCTAACTAACCATGCCCTTAGCATGTGGCAGCTCTGAGAAACAGCAGCTCCCACATTGGCAACAGCCGACGGCCGACGGCCGACGGGATTTGGATTTGGGTCTCGTTAGTGTTCGTTGCTCGTTTGCCGTGATAAATAATAAAAGCTGCTCTATAATCTCTGCGACTACGTGACGTTATTTGTGCCGATAGTGCACGAACGTGCCCCGAGCGCCCAACTGTTCCGCCAGCGTCTGAACCAGAAACCAGAAACCCTTCAGCTCGAGCTGTTCACAAAGCATGCTCCGTGAGGACGAGCACGCCGATGAGCAGTCGTCTCAGCCGAGAGCTACTACAGCATGACTACTCAATTTTTTACTGCTGCTGCTGCCACAGCTGCTCCTGCTGCTCCTGCTGCTGCTGCTCCTTAAGCACAGGCAACATTTTCGACTCCTGCCGCGGGAGCTAAAGTTGAATCAGAGCACATCCCAACGGTCGAATGTTTCAGAATCACGTCGCTGCAATTCCATTATATACTTACAGCGACTGCCACTTCTCATCTATACATATATATCTACACATATATACCATGGTATATGAAATGTGTTTCTGTGTATGTGTGTGTGTTGGCATTTAATGTATGTGTGCGCGCGTGTGTTTACTTTATATACATTGTTCTGGTTTTCCATGCCCAAGTCGCAGCCCCTCGCAAATTTAACTCAAGTTAGCATTTTGTCGTTATTTTGTAGTCATAGTATGTGTGTCTGTGTGTGTGTGTGTATCTGGGCATATACGTAGCGCTGTCTGGAGCATTATCTCTGCTGGCCAAAGTGTATAGGTTCCATAGATAAGCGCACATTTTGGTGTGCAACCATCATAAAAATAAAAATAAAAATATATAGACAAACTGGTCAAATTATATGAGTAGACTGTGGACAGTCAGCTATTTGCCATATGTCCTGATTTACAGTAAAAAAAAATCACATAGATACACTGCGAGAAAAGTAAACTATTTTATATAAGCCAACATGCGTTAAACTCTAATATTTTCCAAAGTATTTCCCAATATTTAAGCAGAAATTATTTTTTATTTTCTTTAATTGTTCGACTTTGTTTAGAATCAATTCTTCATTATATAAATACTTAATTGCATTAATAGTTTGCTAATTCTCTCAGTGTAGTTTTCAGATATCAAAGAAGTATAGTTATACCATATAGTATGGATGTATAGATTTTCCTCTTAGATAAATAAATATTTCTATAAAAGCGTATCAATTTATTCTTGGGCTCGTTTCACGGAACTAACTCTAAGATTTTTATTTCGGGGTTTCTCTCAGTGTTGTTTTGATATCTCAGATGTGAGAAGGTATAAATTAAGTATATAGTATAGACACAACTTCCAACTGATTATGTTTTTCTCTTGGGTAAACAATTATTTATATAACTCCCTACTTTAAGGTTATGTTTGTGGAATCGGTCTACGAAATGTTCTAGGAGTCGCAAAATAAAATAAATAAATAAATATAATAAGTAGAATATATACGTTTTTTACAAGCAATATCTTGAATATATGGATAGCTCATAATTCAAAAATAATTCGATATATATATATATGCAGGCATTATATTACATAAGAAAGTTCTTCACATATTTCCCACTTTGATAACTGCGAATCAAATCTGAAATGAAATTTTTGACAGCACTTGGCGCCGCCGAGTAAAATAAAACACCTCAATTAGGTTGGGAACAAGCGCAAAATTAAGAGAACAAATCTCTAATGAAAAATTAAACAGTCTTAAAAAGCGCTGTAAATGTAATAGAAAAAAAAAGAGCAGAAGCAACAAAAAAAGTTGAAGTAAAAATGCTTTAAAATGGCCATAGAAATTCTTTTAGCATTTTGTACATTTTTATTGTGGCTGCCTTTAAGTGCCAAACCGCAAACACCACACAGATGAACCAGAAAGTTGAAATTTAAAAACTCAATGTGGAGCAGGAGCCGGCGACCGCTCCATAAGCAGTATGGAGGGGGGAGGCAGGGGGGCTCGTTGCTGCGGTCGACGCCATTGCTGCCATACGGAGATGATGACGAGGACTAGAGCCTGAAGCTGTCTGCGGGGCTGTGTGGGGGGGTTGGTCTGACTCACCGCAGCTCAGAGAATTTTTCGGGGGTTGCGTGTACTTGTGAGTACGTGTGGGTGTATCACTTTTTTTGAGGGGGGGACGGTGGGTGTGGGTGTGGGTTGGTTCTGGCAACGGCCATGAAAGCAAAGCTCGTCTCGACGCTGCCTAAAATGGCGCGCACTGGTTGCAAGGACAGCATGCAAAATGCAAACGCCTATCGATTTTAGTGTTAACTATCTTACTCTGTCTCACTTCCCCCCTCAATCTCTCTCTCACTCTCTCTCTCTTTGTGTCATTGCAGGCGAGAAACCGCACAAGTGTCAGGTGTGCGGCAAGGCGTTCAGCCAGAGCTCCAACCTGATAACGCACTCCCGCAAGCACACAGGCTACAAGCCCTTCTCCTGCAAGCTATGCCACAAGTCCTTCCAGCGCAAAGTGGATCTGCGACGCCACAAGGAGACACAGCACACAGATCTGCGCGTTCACCTGGGCAAGGTGGACTTCATGTCGGCCGCGGCGGCAGCTGCCGAACTGGGCGCCGGACCCGGACCCGGACCGGGTATCGGCCTGCCCATATCAACGCAGACGGCGCCGTCAGCGCCAGTGAATGCCTCCACGCCGGTTAGCTCGATGAATTGCCAGAAGGTCTCGCTGCTGGCATAACAGCAACAACTGCAGCAGCGGGAGCAGCAGCCAGCGCCAGTTGCATTACCAGGTCCAGTACCGCATAACCCAGTCCCAAACAATCGGAATCATTGTGCAATAGCTGCCGACACGAATGGCCGCCGGCATCCATTTCCATTTGCCGTTAACAAAATTTGAATAGTTTAAGCCGAGGTGCAAAAGAAATTTCCAGTGTTGCCAAACGTAAATAGATGCATACCATAAACAACATTATACCAAAGACAAACAGTTAAACCAAAATAAAAACCAAATCTTAGGCTCTCTCTCTATCTCTCTCTAATTCTCAGCGCACAGCAAAACAAAACAAAATATTAAAAAAAAAAATAACAACACACTTTCTCAAAATTCAAAAAAAAAAAAAGTAAATAAATAAAAATTCCAAAAAAAATTGTTTTTTGTAAATTAAATATATATATATGCATATTCGATATGTTTGTATGTGTGTGCGTGTGTGTTTGTATGATTGTATTTGGATTAATTTACATGGAATTTACTGAACAAGAAATATATACATATATATATACATGTATGTAATTCTTCTTAGCTGCTACACATTAAATATTTAAATAAAACCAAAAAGTAAATCAAATCAAAAAAAGAAAAAAAACAAGGCCATGAATCGTGCGTGTACTAATTGTGAAATGTAATTAAATAAAAAACCAAATACCAAAAATAAAGAAAATAAGAAAACAATTAAGAGTAAATGTTCCAAATTTTCGCTTCTAGATAGTTGTGAAATTTTAAACGCTATTTTGATATTATATCATTCCAATGAATTTAGTCTAATTAATAAATTTTTAACTTATTTATGCATATGTGTGTATGTATGTAAAAACAAATGCTAAATAAATATATTTTCATTTTAATGTTCAAAAAATATAAAATAAAAATACAAAATAAAAAACATCATATAAATCTAACATACACTTTAAGTATTTTTATGTTTTCCAATAAATTAAATTTATTAAGCAATTAAAACTATATAATATCGAATTGTTTATTTTATTTTCGTTTTGAAAACTAATGGATAGAAATGGAGAAATGCTGAATTAGTAACTGAAGCTGATAATCGAAAGAGGAAAATCCATTTTGAATACTTTTTAATGGAAATTTGATTAACTTTAGATATTTGGAATAAAGAATATAGAAGAGACTAAAAGACTTGCCCCTCAGCTGGGCTTGTAATAGACTTTTATCCATGCTTTATTTAAAAATTAAAAAAAATGCAATAGATATGAAAAAGGGCACTTTTTTTACATAATTTAATAGGTTTAAATATTTATTTTATTAAATTAATTTAACTATTACTATAAAACTTTCAATATATTTTTTTATACAAATATTTGATAAGCTGGGCGAGATCCTGGGTTCAATATTGAAAATTGGTTTTAGAGACATTTTAGTTTAAATGTTAATACTATTTTTGCGATATATAAGAGAATATTTAACATTTTCAAAGAATCTCCTTAGGTAGATAGAGATGAATATAAATGTTATTTGAACTGCAATAGAAACTCATAAGTTTTAGCTTTAAGGAAGTTTTATGTTAGGGTTTCATATGTTAGGATTTTCTTCGATTATACAAACTGTAGTTAAGGAAAAAGACTCCTTTTTATCCATTTATCAATATTCAGTTGATAAGAATTGCAAGTCAAACTGGCAGTGAAAGGGGTTACATATTTATAAGTGCGAGTCCTTCTTTTCGCATTCATGACACCTGCCTGGCAGCTGCCAATTCCTTTGTCCAAGGATGTGACAGTCTGTTGCGAATCGAAATTGTTTGTGAGCACAAATAAGAATGTCCAATGTCGAATACTCGTTGAATATGCAAACTTCCAACATGCGAGCATATGATTAAAGAGTCCTTAGCAGAAGGCAGCCGTGTGAATACTTCTCGTATTCCCCAAAGTGTCCAACGACCGGTATTGAGTATCACGTACGAGACGAGGGCAAATGTTGCTGCCGTGTCGTACTCGTTCAAAACAAATTTGACAATAAAAAATAATAATGCTGAATGCTGGGCAAAGAGACGCTGTGCCACATATAAGTATATACACTTGCACAAATTCCCAAGTCTGCAATTTGGTGAAGCAACTTGTCTACTTTGCAAATGGAGTCGAAGCGAAACCAATTTCATCAATAAAAAATATTTGTCTACCTGGCAACACGTGTAGCAAAGACACAGTTTGCTATTTTTTGCTATTTTTCTATACCCTGTAAACATGAAATGAGCATGGGGGATATAGTGATGTCCATGTTTCAGTGGCTTCTCCCTTTGAAATGTGAACTTATCCAATACAAATCAATTTTAATTGAGTATATATTTTATTGAATACTTGAAAAATAAATATATATAACAATTTCCTAAGCAACGTCAGCACAATATATTTGTAAAGAGTGTGCCAGAGCTCAGAGCAAACCCCAGGGTATTTCGTAGTCAATCACTCGCGACTCACTCGAAACTCCAAATAATTCTTATATGCCCATGCATGAGTAGGAAAGAGTAAGGCAGAGCCTCGAACAAGTCACAGGGTATTTCGTAGTCGATCACTCGCAACTCGAACATTTGTACTTCTTATTCATATGCTTGGCAAATGACAATTTCAGTTTTATCGAATCGCTTCCAAATGGAAGCGAACCGTCTGCATAGTGGGAAACTCTTGCGCTGTGAACTCATGAACATGTTTGAACCAGCAGCATTTGGGAGGTTTGATAGATTTATGCATATGTCATCGAGAATTAGAGACTTGGCGCAACTCATTACCCACAATTACAGCAGCAGCAGTAAAAATTGATTGTAAGTTGGGCCAAGCCAAGCAAATCGAACGTTTAATTTATGCAATGATCGATAACATCCTGCGATTTAATCAACAAACGCTTGCCGAATGGCAAAAGCAAAGCCCAAAGAGTCGTTGACCGGGCGTAGGTGATCATAAAACGTTATATGATCAATCAATCTTAAATGATCCCAAGTCACAAATTGACTCTGGAGAAATCAGCAACTTCCGTCCAAGTTCACAGTTTGCCTTTGCTTGCTGGATTCAGCGAAGCTCACACAGACTTCGTAGAAGATCTACAAGATCTAAATTATTGGATCGTAACTATGTTTTACGAACTATAAAACAAAAAGCCTCAAGTAATGCGGGCTCTTTGAAAGAATTAAGCGCAATTAGCGAAGGTACTTGAAGTTGGGATTGAGGTTGGGGTTGCGCCTAGCCGGAGCAGGATCAGCGATCGATGCGTAACCTCAACACGCAACATGCATGATTTAGGGTCCGGCTCATGTTTTTAAAGTCATTGTCAAAGATCGTGTAATGGGCGCAACATCTGCACCATTATACGGCCATACAGCGCGTTCTTAATGCGAATTTATTGCCGCCATCATTATGGCGCCCAGACATGAAGATCATTCGAAGAGATGACTCAAGACTTTTCAACAACTTTGCACCCTTTTTTTTTTTGGTATTCAATTCTGCTGGCACACCGATCCGAGGGTAGCTGAAGATAAGACAATGGATCTTAATTACATTTTATTGTGGAAATAAGTGTTAATAATCCCAAATTCTTGTGCAAGGTATGTGCGAGTGTAATAACAACCATCAGATCCGTCTGAGTAGCATGAAGTTCAAAATACCGAGAGTTTAATTCAACTCGTTCTTTGTTTAACAAACTTCAATGAACGCCGAAAACTACTCGAAGAAAGTGTAAAATTATTATTCTTGCATTATTTTGAATTTTTTTTACAATTATTAATATTTGTACGATATTGTTATAAATATTATTTTTATCAGTATTAGAATTACTATTGCTATTATAATATTTATAGATATTTTTTTCTTGAAACTTAGTTTTAAGAGAAATATTTAATGTGCACAATATGTGACTTTATTTATTTAAAATTTTTTTTGTTTTTTGGTTTTTTATATATTTAACATATTTTATTTTTTTTGCTTTATAATTTATGTTGAATTTGGCGAGCTTTTCTAACATTTGTCGAGGTCCATCCAAATAAATACTTATAATTTTTTTTTTTTTTGTACATATTACAAATTTGAAAATCTTATCTTTATCGTTTGATCACAAAAGTATTTAAATATTTAACAAGCCAAAATCTAAACAATTTATTGAATATAGACCTAAAAATTGTTGCATATTTTTAGTGAAGTAAATTCTGTTTTCAATTTCTACATTTCCATAGAAATCAATTGAGGCTGTTGCCTGGCGAGTCCTTTGGCATGCCTGTTCGTGAGAAGTCAATGGAACTACTATTTATTTGTGATCGATTTGCAACATTATCCAAGCTCTTGACCGGCGCACAATGCTGAATGTTTGTCAGGCATATCCTTGGTAGTTTTTATTGTTGCGTGGACATGGCGGAAGCGTCGCAGTTGTGACACATTCCCGGCACTTAATGACAATTGCATTTTTATTACACAAACAGTCGACGAAATGTTTGTTAATGGTCCACGCATAAAGGCATCATGACCTCCATGGCAATCAGCTGCAGCTTAAATTGATTTCACTTCCAACTATCCGTATCTGTGTATCTTTGTATCTATGTATCTGGGCGTAAGTGTTGTATCTGTAAATGTTGTTACAGTGCATGCGCCGCACCTGCTGACAATTTCAAGTGCATGCCAAAGAAAGAACAACACGCACAACTGGGGAGATTTGTAATGTGCCCTGCCCCTGCCCCTGCCCCTGATCCGGTCAAAGCCACCCTCCACCTAACCACATCGAACCGCAATAGTAATTTACGGATGCGCAACATCAGGCAGCTTCCCAAACTAATCGCACGCCCAGCGGGCGGACACAGACGAAGTGTCAACGACTCGCGGTGGTTGTTGTTGTTGTTGTTGTTGTTGCTTTTGTTGCCCGGGTAGCTCAGTGGTTGTTGCTGCTCCGGATTGCCAATTGAACGTCTCAATTGTTGCAATACTGTTGCCAATACAATGCGGATGCGGAGTCCTGCTGCGTGATTACACAAGAACAAAGTGGCACTGTGGCTGTGCCCGCTTCCAGTTCCGAATGCCAAACAAACAAACGCCATGCATACGCACCCCTACGCATCCAGAAATCCCACTGGACTAATTCAAGTGTAACCCCTTGTTATATCCCTGCATGCCGCACGCCTCCAGCAACCGGCAGCGAAAAGCACAACGCCCAAAAATTGAGCAGTTAAATATTTTGGTGTCATAAGTCGGCATTACGCATCCTTTTCACCCCACGTCCTTGGCGTACGCCTTGGCACTGAATCGGATGAGGTCGAGT